CAGTCTGAGTTGTGGGCACAGGTTCACTTTTATTCAGTAATCATTTGTTACGCTCGTCTGTGCTCTGCACCATCGCTACAATATTGTATACCCGATACGGCGCTGCACAGAAATATCATGGGTCAATATTAAACTTGTTTAGATAATTTTAGGATGAAATAGACGGCTGACGCGAATGCTCTCAGCACGTTTCTTAGCAAGCAAGCGCTCTATCCGCAAACGGGCGTCTGCTGCGCAGTAGCAAGGCAAGTGCCGCCACGTTCGAAGGGAGAGTGCGAAGGAGAGGAGACCGAGGAGAAACGAGAGCGGAGGAGGAGAGCGTCGCTACTTTGCGAAGTTTTAGGGGCTTTATCCATCGCTCTAACGCTTGTCCAACAAGAGCCTGTGACGCCATTTCGCCACTGATAATGAAAACGTGCCAAAGTTTCCAAACTCTGAGGACTGCCAAACAGTGTGTGGTGTGTATAAATGACTTGCCATATTCATTCAAAAAAACGTGCGCTCTGTGGCGTAGTGGTTAGCGCCGCGCGATGGTAAACGGGAGGTTGCTAGTTCAATTCCGTTCAGCAGGTGCTTGATTTGTAGTTTTTTTATTTTTGCAATTTTAAAGTATTTGTTTTCCAACGTCACTTCCGTGACAAAAGTGTGCCAGTGGAGCCGTGGTGCACCCCAGCATAAAACAATTTGGTGTTTTAAAAAATGGCCCCGTATCTGCACGTTACACCGCAAATGTCGTCGAAAAACGATAATGTTGCGTCTGGAGAGAGTGAACAAAACGGTTATTCGTTGTTCTGTGCAAGAAAATCGGTGAATGGTATTCCGTAGGCGCTGCGTTATAGTGCCTCGAGCGTGCAGCGGAGGCGAACGAGCGCATAGTCACGTCACACGGGAGACATGAGCGCCATCTAGCAGTTATCCTGGAAAACGGGGCACGCACCGTGCGCGCCCGTCTATAAAGTGATAAAGTGTAGAACGAAAGGCAACGGGTAGGTGCCACCACCGTGTCGTCTTTGCAAAGCGATGGAAACACTTGCCGTTTTGTGCAAGCGTTGCATGGCCAGCACAGCGTAATAAAGGCTACGATCCTTAAAATTACTTATCTATGCCTTTTGAGTAAAAATACACATACATAATATTGGTGTGTTGTTATAATACCTCAGATATGCGCAATAGTTGCTTTTTAATTGACAATCGCACAAGTATGAACGCTGGACCTTGAGCAATATTGGTGGGCGCTGTGGATTGGGTCGGCCGTTTGGAGTCTCGTTTGGTCACTTTGGTGCCGTTTAAACTAAGGTAGACAACAGACAAATGTACAGACAGACAGACAGACAGACAGACAGACAGACAGACAGACAGACAGACAGACAGACAGAGGCAGGCAGGCAGGCAGGCAGGCAGGCAGGCAGGCAGACAGACAGACAGACAGACAGACAGACAGACAGACAGACAGACAGACAGACAGACAGACAGACAGACAGACATGCTTCGCCTTGCTTATCATGTTGCGTTGCTGATGAGCTTGCAGTGATCGCGGCAACTTGCAACATAGCGACGAATTAATGTGTGCACTCAGCCCATAAGAAAACCCAAATCTAAGGCTGCCCACAACTTGATCTGCTAGATAAGTCACATGTCTGAGGTCCACGGTTTTAGGTCTAACGAAAGTGAATTGACAGCCGGGCTAGTTGGTCTCAGTTCCTCTTGACTTGTACGGTGCAAATTAAACAGGACAGAAAAAGAAGCGCACACGCGGAGCGCTGCTTATTTCTCCCTCTCTCTCAACAAGGATGAGTTCACACAGTTGCAGTGACAGCTCAACATTGTCACACCTACACTATTGAAAATATTTGTTATGCTCATTTGAGTCCATGTCTCCGGCTGCTCTAAGCTGCCGCAGCCAAAGTGATCGGCGGGCACCCTTTTTGAATTACGTTTTGAAAGAAACACCGTGTCATTATTCCAAAAAAGCATAGGCATTGTTCAGCATATAAAGGCGTAGGCCAGTGTGCAGTCATCATTTTCCCATTATGAAACCGGTAAGCGCACGAAGACGGGAACAAGGCGACACACCGAGCACTCTGTTTGTTATCCTCTTGTTCCCGTCTCCTTGTTCGCTTACCGATTTCACAGTGCCACTGTACCAACAAGCTCGGACTCAGCCTCTGATGGAGTCATTTAACGTCATAAGATTTCACAGATTTGGGGCATCACATAGTCGCGTAGTAAGCAGGAGATCTTATGATACGGCGAAAATAATTTTGGCGAATGGTGAAGAACCAATTGGTAACAAAATACGGTATTGAAAGTAGTTTATTCTCTTATTTTCAAGCAGCCGGGCGTAGGTGGCGAATAATTGTTGAATTATTTCACATCATTTATTGAGTCTCATCCCGAGCACTCGCAGTGCATATGGTCCGGAAATGTTCGACTAAATATAAACAGCTAACCACTAATGCAGAAGGAAACAATGCAGGGTAGTTTAACAACACTATAATTGCCCAGATTTTTATAGAAAGTATCGGCTTACACAATTTTTTTGGGTGTAGTTACATGAAGAGGCCGGAGGACCCTCGAAGCAATGTTGCTAATGGAAATACTGTCAGTATAAAGCATTTACTACGCTTCCCATGCCACAAACTCTTACTTAAAAAGAAACTTTTTCAAAATATAAAACAATCGTATCACTATTTTAATTATTATTATTATTATTATTATTATTATTATTATTATTATTATTATTATTATTATTATTATTATTATTATTATTATTATTATTATTATTATTATTATTATTATTATATACTCCAAGCCGAACGTGGGCAAGAAAGTTAAGTACTAATTACGGAAACAATATGCAGGCTAAGACATTTGTATTTATATTAGAAAGCTCAATTTTACACATCAACAAAATTTTATTGTATGATCCAAATCTATACTACTGGTCACCATGGACTTATTTTTATTTATGCATGACACTGTTAATACAAAAAGTGGTTCATGCGTAAAAAAATATCGCCGCCGTATTTGCAAACTGATTGATGTTAGAGGAGCTTGCTCCGAGATGATCGGGTAACCCACGAATCCTCCGTACACATCTCCTACCATCTTATACAGGAGTGACAACGTTGTTCAATATACATTACCTACACAATGGGATTTGATTTACTTTTGAATGCACTATATACATTTTGATGAACTATGTACATTTTATATACAAAAGTGATGTTTTTTTGCAAAGTGCAAGAAGGGTGTTCAATGATGAGCTCGGAGACTCATTCCCTTTTAAGATGATTGATTTATGATGCATGAACTATATACATTTTATGTAAACAACATATGTTATTTTAGAAAGTACACCACCCGCAGGACGCTTCACTTCGTTGGTGCAGACGACTGCAACGAATGCAATGATGTGCATGTTTCCATCGTTCCACGTCACCGTGAAGCAGGGCACGTCGGCTCCGCTTCTCCGTGAAGCAGGACGGGATTTTGTTCCATGTCATCAACGTGAGCGTTCAGGTACGACATGTTAAGAGCAAGTGTGAAGTCGGTCAAGCGGTCGACGTCTTCTCGCAGGGCACGAAGATTCCATTGCGTTAGCGTGAGCAACCTGTGCTGCTCGAAACGTCGAAACTCGCCGAGCACGTCTTTGTGTTCGTTGAAGGTCTTGTGGTAGAAGTGGTGGACCCCGTTGGCATAGGTCAGGTACAAGTTGTCGACGTTGTTACAGTGACTGAGTACCACGTACACCTATGTCTGCTGGTGCGTCTGGCTGTGTTTGTATACTACCGAAGACTACGTTCCTCCTTGAGCCTTGTGTACCGTTATGGCACTGGCTTGCACGAGGGGTAACTGCTTGCATCTGCATAAAAGGCCTGTTTTGAGGGTGAGCGTGACCATACGAGGTTCGATTGGTATCCAGGACTGTGCTACACTGTAGCCGTTTCACATGGCTTCGCTGGCCCGCAGCTCCAGGTTTGCTTGACGGCGAGTCCTCTGCGCTACGGCCTCCCGGGTTTGTCACCGCAGAGTCTTGGCGACTAGCCCGAGCTGCTGCTGCATTGCGATCCCGCCGCCCTGCTGCCTTGGCTTCTGAGATGTTCATGCGGCTGAGCGGTAACGAAGATTTGTAACTGCGTGAGCTCCCGGCGAAGAGAAAAGAAGTGCACGTGCCGAGAGCACTTCTGAAATCGCCGGAGAAGTGTACATGCCGCCGCCAGACAAAGCATTAGCATAAAAAAAACTTGCCGAGACAGCTTCTAAAAGTATTGTCTGGGACACCTTTAGGTGTAAAGTTGAAAGACGCAAATTCTGAGTGCTCGTTTTATTGCCTCACACAATCTTATGAAAACAAGCAGATAATGAAGCCATGGAAGGTATAGGGTACGTTTATTGCACTGTTTCTTAAGCGTATGGTTGTACTTGTAATACACATTTGGAGACATACCACACCATCAGGTAACACGGGGGCTTAATAGAACTGGTAAAAGAAAGTGTGTTCCCTACTCGCTGACATACCTACGAGTGTTCAGTAACACTCCCAGGTTTTCATGTGCGTGAATAACCGATAAAGACGAGACGACAACCACCTCTGTAGCTTAGTTGATAGGACGTCGGGCTCGTTATCCGAAGGTTGCAGGTTTGGTCCCTGCCAGAGACAAGTTCTCTTTTCGCCAACTTTACTTTCTTCACATCTGTTTCTTAATTACTATACAATAAAATTTCAGAAAACACCACAATTAGCATTCCCTATTACCATGATTGGCTTCATTATCTGCTAGTTTTATATAAAATTATATGCGTAGCACATATATGTATAGGAGTCCCAGCACATGCTATGGAAAACTGAGGGTACTTTTTCAATGCTGTTATTACCGGAAAACGACATCAAATTGACATTGAATGGATATCTCTTTTTCGGTAAGCCATCACACCCACAACAGTTTTATGAATTTGATGTTTGCTTTTCTTTTCCTTTCTGTTTGCCTCTTTTGCAGCGCAAGATGGGTGTCGCTTCAGTGACTTTTATAATATTGTTTCTCACGGACTGGTCCTTGAGTCAAAGGGCGAAGTAGCACCATTGAACAGCACATTTTGGCCTTTTTGTGACAGCGATGGATACACTTTGGTTGGAAATTACAGCGCAGTAACCTGCCTCCAAAATGGTTCTTGGCACGTCCCACCGCAAGTAAAATGTAAGTCATTTTGCTGTATTTTGAGAAAATGACACTGCCACGTCAGTCACATAACTAAGTTCACATATCTTGCATGTGCACAACTGGCCGAGAAAGCAGGGTTGGTAAAATGGGGAGGGGGGGGGGAGACATGCTTTTGCATCTAAATGGTACGCTCTGATGGACACTTTTTTCCACTCAAAGGATGCTCTTCTGTCGCCATGTAAAAATACTAGTTTTTCTAGCATATTGTCAAAACAAGCACACTAAACAATAGTATTCATAAAGTCTTCACTCTGACAGTGGAAAACCCATCTATAGTACTACTTTCTCGTTTTAGCTTTTTTTCTCTTTCAAACAAACAACCCAATTTTGTTTTATTGCATACTAGAAGAGAGTGAGCGAGACATTAACTTCATTCTTGACCAGGCTCCTTGTACTTAAGAAGAAAAACAATTTTGAAGCTCTGCCATTTTACAACATCCGCAACGGTAGATATTGATGTAGTACATTGTGCTTTACGCTTGATACGTCGACAGTCACGTCCTTTTTGCTCGGCAGTACACAGTGACTTGCAAGCCTCATTACTCTGTTTCAAATGAAGCAGCTTATATAGAAAAAAAAGGTGGCATGCTGACATATAAAAAATACTGAATACACGCGTCATAGCAACAGCGAGAGACTTGAACCACAACATATATTCAAGTGAGTTTTGAGCCACTGTGAAATCATATATAAAAAACAGCACAGCTGAGCCCATGGCACACGTAATTGGCCAGCAAATTAATTTATCACTACTACCTCTAGCAGCTTCTAGTGTGAGAATAATTCTGAACAAACTGGGCTCTCAATTGCTAGGAAACGTGGCTCGTAATTGGAGCGCAAAACTTCCAGTTCATCATCGTCATCACGCCCACTGGTGAGCAAAGACCTCTCCCAAGTTTCAACAATTAGCCCCCAAAATAAGCAGCCGTGAGCAGGTATAGCAGGTATATATATATATATATATATATATATATATATATATATATATATATATATATACAGCCGATTTTCTTTATACCACTGAACCACCGTGACATCTCTCGGTGACACCGACACTACACGTAAGTCGACGCGAATGATGGTGTGTGTGTGTGTGTGTGTGTGTGTGTGTGTGTGTGTGTGTGTGTGTGTGTGTGTGTGTGTGTCGCTTCATTCGGTACACATTTCCATTGTCCGGTCCTGCTATAAACTCATATTTACAGGTAATCTACTTGTTAACTTTACACAATACATAACGATGATAGTTTCGTTCGTATACTAATGAGGTTCACACAACGAAGTAAGTAAAAGTATGCAAAAGTTACTAACAATTGCAAAACTTAACAGTCTGTTAACGTAGGTAGTAAAGAGGCAGCAAGGAGCTAGTAATGCTCCATGAAAGAGGACGAGCTACTGTAATAACCGTAGCTTGTACCACCTGGTTTTCGCCCTGCACTTTTTAAAGAGAGGTAGTACAATACCTGTGTTTTTCTTGTTTTTCTTCAAAAGTGTAGCGCGAAAACCAGTTTTTTATATTGCCTCGAGTTTTCATTACCAGCCGCCAAAAACACAATACACCACCCGTGTGTCCCGCTGGACTTTTGCGTCTCTTTGATCTTTCATCGATTCCTTCTCAGCAAGTTCGCATACATTTTCTCTGACCATTCCCCACGTCGAGAGCTGGTAAACGTTGGATTGCTGTTTCCACAGGCTACCTCACGCGAACATTAAAACGAAAGCTCTCCTACAAGCCCTAGTAATCGACATAGCAACTTGCCTTGTACATAGCATCGCACTCCGCCACGGTGCTCTGGCAATGGTTATAACTGACAGACGCATGACACTTACGGCACAGCTTACCGACGCTATCATGCACCTCAGTGGTACCATTCACCGAAAAGCCACTGCTTACCATCCCCAGGCATATGAACTCACAGAGTGGCTAAAGAAAACCATAGCAGTTGTGATTTCCAAGTACGTTGACATCTGCCACAAATACTGGGACTATGTGCAGTGTCAATTTTTATGAAAGGGAACACGGGAACACGCGGCCTGCGCGCTTCGGCGGCTGCTGGCAGCGCGTTCAAGCGGGAACGAGAACAACCACAGTCTCTTTTCGCGTCATCTTGCGGCGAGCAAAACACCCATTCGTTGCTGATATAGACTGGCGAAATCGCAACCCCTCCCCCTTCAAGGCGATTACCGGCTCCAGGGTAATCGCCTTAAGAGGGGGGGGGGGGGTCGCAATGTAGCCACTGGTTCCATATCAGCAACGGATTGTTTCGCTTGCCGCGAGATGACGCGAAAAGAGACTGTGGTTGTTCTCGTTCCCGCTTGAACGCGCTGCCAGCAGCCGCCGAAGCGCGCAGGCCACGTGTTCCCGTGTTCCCTTTCATAAAAATTGACACTTTACTTCTATAGTGCGTTACTTTCGCACATAATACCACCGCGAAAGAAACTACCGGCTTCACCCCTTTCCGCTTGCTGCATCGCCGGTAATCTGTCAAAACGTTGGACGCGATGCTTTTAGCCACTCACTGATTCGATGTTGCCAGTGATGCTGCTGAATTCGCTAGTCGCGTGCCGAATAAGGAGCACGGGTGCTCGCACGAGTGCGTACACGTTATCAGCAACACAACGACGCCCACCGATATAATCACCACCGTCGAGCCATCATAGCAATCAGGCCACAAGTTATTTGAGTGCGGCCCCAGTCCGCCAACGTGGTCGGCCAGACAAGCTTTTGCGCCGCTACTTTGGCCGCTTTAGGATCGCCCGACGGCTGAGCGACGTTGCCTACGAGGTGCTTCTGAATGCGAAGCAACCTTATGTCGTTTTCGGCATCCACGAGCCAGTCAGATGCCGTTCACGTACGTCGGATGAAGCTCTACAACAAAGCTCATCGTTCATCGTTCAGTCACGCATCCTTTCCTTGGCGGACTCGCCACTCTGTGTAACAGTCCGGCATCGAGACGATGCTCTTTATGAACGGGAGTAATGCTATGGCAGTCACACAACTGATGAAAGCTTGGGACAATGATTGAAGAAAAAAACGACGAGGTGTTTTGAGTAAACAAGCCATTTTCGACCGAAGGTCTTGTGCGCACATGGTTCTGGCCATGACAGTGTATTATTCCTGCTTGCACATATATACGATTGTAACAAGTAAATATGGATTTATTTTTTCGGCAGTTATTGTTTTCCGCTTTGGTCTGTAATCTAAACGAAAAAGGTTCTGTTGCACGTAGTAAGAATAAATGGAAGATCCTTAAGCTTCGCCTTCAAGAGTTCCACGTGATAGTGACATCTTGTCCCTTGAGCGTACTTCAATCATTTAGTGCATATTATTTATTGTATGTTTACTCGAAAAATTTAATTTGTGGATTACTACTAGGTAATCGATGAAGTTAAAAGTGGCTTGTGTTTGTGAAGCTTCGGCGTATGGCTGCAGTCTGTGTAAGGAATAGCATGCTTTAAACCACAAGCAATTATATATACGTGTGAAATCATTTCGTACTTGCTATGCACCCCACTACGTTGTCTAAGCAAGATATGCTCAGTTGCGTCTGTGCCATTTGTAATGGCTTACCTGCTTTAAACCACAAAGTCGGTATAATACTGACGCCCGATGGCAATGTACGCTTGTACCACACAATATTACTACGACATAGTATTGTGAAGCCGACATGTATACACTGCAGGACGTGCCTGTTTGCAAAGCATGAACATCTGCAATCAGAGGAAGTCATTTTCACTTAAATTTCAAGCGGCCATGTTGTTGTGTGGTAGACCACCTGTTTGCCCCACAGACGGCCTGGGTTCGATCCTTTATCACTTCCGGAAATTCTTCTATTTTATTTGGATTTAACTCGGTTTTTCAGACATACACAATACAATTATTTTTCGCTGACAACTAACGGCGCCGATACCGGAATTTTTGAAAAACGAACTCTCGAATGGTGTCACGTGAAAAAAAATTCCTAGAATTGTTTAACCTAATCCGAAATTACTCGCAGTCTATGTTTATTAGCTGGCCTTCATCCTATAAACCACAATTTGCAGGTATCGAAGGATGTGCCAACTTCGACACCGGGCCCAACGGCCCAATGGTGGTAGGACGCAGAAGCTCTTACGCACTCGGCGACAGCCTCATGTTCTTCTGCAGCAATGGGACTCGGCTGCAGCCCCGAGTTGAGAGAATCATCTGTCTTGGCCGAAGCTGGTCAGAGCGTGTGGTGCCAGTATGTGTCCCCGAGCTGGAGACTACAAAGAAACGACGCCAGAATAAACGTGTACTGAGTGGTTGATGCTTCTATTCAATTATAAATGTAATTGTGCCAAGTCAGTAAAAAATTTTGAATAAAAAAGGAGAAGTTTACACTTGCCGTGTAAAGCCTAAGAAACAGCGAAATTTCTTGGTCTTAGACGCTCAACGTGGCCTTCCTTCCTGGCTGATGGCCTTTCCTTGGCGTAGACAAAGTACAGTCGAACCACAGCCTTTTGCAGATCATTCTACAGTTCCCAAACACTAGATCGTCGGGCGTGCTTGATAAGCATCGGCTTGGTGCTTTTAGCAAAGCATGACAAGCAACGGCGTTGAGGGTTCTTTTGCGGGCAGCTGATGTTCTACCTCGTTCTAGAGAGCTTCGCTCTTGACCGTTTCTAGGTTCTCCTGTACTTCAGACAAAGGTACACAAAAAGCGGCTGTGGTAAATTGATATAAACTGCAAATAATTATGAAACAAACTTCATCAAAATCAAGCCGGTATTCTACTGAAAAAAAAGTGGGACGCATATGTCCCATTGACTCGTGAGAGTGTTTTCAAAATGTGGGAAAACACTGTTCCACTATCTCAAGAAGGCACCATCTCACGATTGCATGAACAGGTATTTTGGAATAAAACAGCCGAAGAAATTGGCACAGGGTATCACTTTTCAAGTGAAAAGACGAAAGTTTTGCGGATCTCTTTTCAAGCTTCACTTCTATTTATATCCAAACTCTTCATTTCATAATGGCCAACTTATTTCGCAAAGCTACAAAATACATGTGATAACTAGAAGCTAACATCACCTCTCTCAGAAACCGGTAAAGAGTAAATTATCTGGCATTGCGGTTGGTAAGTTCAATCTATTTCAAGAAGAAGAAAATTCAGTAATAATAAATAAACATTCACCGAAATGCAACGTCATTGTAACACTATATCTGGCCTTGGAAGGCGTGGTAAAAAAATTTCTCATTGTTACGAAGACTTAGGTAAGGTTTGAGTGACCCAATGGCTACTTAAGTGTCGTGAGCTTAAAACATAACGGCAATGTTGATTTGAGGCACTAAAACGTTTAGGCTTGCCACGTGACAGTGTAACCGATATCGTGTTTCCGCATGGTCACTGTATCTTGAGTAAGCTGGTATCGCGACTTCTCTTGAAGTTTTTTACTGCTACGGACCTCGCAGTGACGGGTGATGAGTGACGATTATGTTGGGGCGTGGTGAAATGAGATAGAGGCCCGGTACAACACTGCGTACGGAATAGCACACAGCCCGCCCGCTTGAGTCACGTTGTGCTACGCGCAACTTTCTAAGAGCACTAACCAGGCGAAGAAATCACCTGCAAATTTCGCAAGGCTAGATCCACCGGCTACCTACAGCTTCATAATCCTAATCCTGATTGATTCGATGGATATGTGGTGTTTAACATCCCGAAACCACAATATGATTATGAGAGACGTCGTAGTGGACGGCTCCGGAAATTGCAACCACCTGGGGTTTTTTTAACGTGCACCTAAATCTGAGCACACAGGCCTACAGCATTTCCGCCTTCATTGAAAATGCAGCTTCGATCCCGCAACCAGCAGGCTCCTAATCCTAACGTTGTGTTAATTGCAACGGGTGGTGTGGGAGGAAAAGATTTTCGCAGATGGAAAAGTGGAACTTATGTGTTCTGGTGACGCACAGAGGGTTAAAAAAGAAAAGAAACACTGAAATTAGCAGACTGGGGTGAACCTTGGTTGAATCTTGAGTCGTAAAACAAATCTTAAATTTGGTAATCATGGAGCACGTTTCATCTTATTGAATTCTTCACGGCATTCCAGTTTCCCATCGATATATCGCACCTTAAACTTGCAAAGCTGACTTTCGTCGCGCCGAATTCATCTCGTCGTCACAAAATTCGCCATTACAAATATTTGAAGAACACCCAGCTTCATTCCTATGAGGTAGGTGCACCACTTTGTCGTGAGAAATTGCACAATGACTATTTCATTCCTAGGACGAGCGGCGCTTGGCACCCTTCCGCCTCATCACCCACGTAACAAAAACCTTGCAAGATGTCTGATGCCTTGAAACTTCTTTTTTTTTAGGGGCGAAGCTTTTTATAGCGGCACCTGCTCATCCCTCGTAGGCGTTGTAGTATGTAACAAGTATAACATTTTGACCTCCAAGGTGGTGCCGGTGAGAAACTTCTTCTGTGCGTTGTTGAACAATAAAAAATAGTGCTCAATGTACATGCCAATGGCTGCTAAGGGGGAATGAAAGACAGGAGCATTCGGCTTTTAGTTAACGCGCACGCTGCAATCCACATTATCAGCCATTGGCATGTACATTGAACACTATCTGACAAGAAAGGATTGCTACGTAATACTTACTGGGTGTAACCTCCTTAATTTTAGAAAGGTTTAGCGAGCGTTGAGCCGCAGTGCCATGAATACAATGAACTAGTACATACTATGAACTAGAAGTGGTTAAAGGTTGGAAGTAGATACGAAGCGCAAGCCGTAAGAAAGTGAAAGCCGAATTCTCCTGTCTCCCATTTCCCATTAGCAGCCATTGGAATGTCCATTGTGCACTCTCTGAGAGGAAAAGGGTGCTACGTTATACTCGCTGGACGCAACCTCCTTGGTTTTAGAAAGGTTTAGCGAGCGTTGGGCGGCAGTGCCATGAATACAGTGAACTAGTATATACCATGAAGTCGAGGTGGTTAAAGGTGGGAAGTAGACCCGAAGCGCAAGCCGTAAGAAAGTGTGCGTGAGCCACCTCTCGTTTATTCCTTGGATTGTCCGCTGGATGGCGGTGCTTCTATATGGGGAATATATGATGAAAAGATGCGAGATGGTGCTACTTGGAGTGTTGAATAGATGGACGAACGGACACACAGACAGATGCATGGATGGACGCATGAACGGACGCAGGGGCGGATGCATGGACGAACACAGGGACGGACGCACGAACAGACGCACGCACGAACGGGCGGATGGACGCATGTAGAGTCACACAGATGGACGCGTGGACGGACGGAAGCAAGAACGAATGGACGGACGAATGCTTCGCCCTAGTCTTCATCGATCACTCCGTGGATATGCTGCCATTTTTTTTATGGAGAAAGCTGTTATAACATTCGAACACGGGTCACGCGTGGCACCGTAGTTGTCTGTCGCCGACGCCGCCGTTGTCGGTAACCAGTAACGAACGAAAAAAAAAACTTGGTAAATAAAAATCCCCATTGACCGCCAGTATTCTACAACTGCCAGTATTCTACAACTGATCTACGCCAGTGCTTGGTACTCAGTAAATAAGAAAACACCAATGGCACTACGGTATTCGACCGCTGGTCCGCTGCGTGCCAGCCCAGTATTCTACCACTGAGCCACGTAGTACTTGATACTGTTTTCTAAACTGGCCTTAGGCAGCCTTTATGTCGGGAAAAGAATCGCGTTAACATGAGTAATAAAGCGTTTTAGAATATCAAAGGAACAGCCAGGTGTCAGACAATGTGAATTACGTAACAACTGGGTCGTCCAATGCTCCAACCCATTAGAAAACTTGTTCTTTGTCACCTATTAACTGTGGCGCATAACCACTTCCAGCATATTTCTTTATCGTCGTCAGCCACTGCATAAAAAAATTGGCACAACGTTTCTTTCAAGTGTTTAGCGGATACCACGCTTCTCCAAAGAATGACGAAGGATAGCATAGTGAATGCTGGCCTACTGCCCAAAATTTATTATTATTTATGGCGCAGTGGGTACCCAGCAGTGTGTTTGTAGCATCCCGAAGAGTGTTTAGAAAAGGCTCTGAAAGACCGCTCTTCTAGCTGTCGCTGTGACTGTTCTGCGCGTTCCGCGCAGGCCTAGCTTTTTTTTATTAGTTTTAACCGCACCTGTCACTCCTTGTGTACGCACCATGTAGTCGAGTTATTCATCGTGACCGCAGCGCTAGAATGCAAAACTTGGCGGATAAAAACAGCAGTAATTGGTTGTTTTAGGATAACGTTTGTAGGCGCCGTGGGCATTGTGGGCATAGCGGGCGCCATATGAGTTTTAGAACAGCGTTTCCTCCCCCTAGGGAAAAGTCTAGGGACTTTCACCCCGACCGCAAACGCAATCTGCACAGAAGCTACACACAGCAAGTCGCGGGACTCACAGGGCCGCGATCGCTGCACGCTATTTCGGATTTTCTGCGTGCGGGCCGCGAACGCGGACGGCAACTCGCGTTACGACGCATGCGCAGTGGCAGCGACCACACCGCAAATGCTTGCGGTGCGCTATTTTAAAACTTTAAATTTTGAAACTTTTATTTTTAAAGCGGGGTCGGTCAAGTTGGAACGCGATGCACGCGTCTTCCTCCCTGCATGATTGAGCGTATTGTGGCCGGGCTACGTGAAGGACGCTTGTGAGGGTCCTAAACAGAAGAAAGCTATTTCCCAGCGCTATCTTGAAACAGGTGTTCCTCTTTGTACAAAGTGATCGACGGGACACTGACGCATTTGTAACCCTTCCTATATATGTGGTTCGCCTCCACTGGTTCTGCCTTACATGCACAAAATTGCCCACAATTTGAAGAAAGTTGCAAGCAGGCATGACGTTATTGTGGTCTTCTCGGCACCCAACAAGCTGTCGAAGCTCTGCGCCTGCATTTTTACACAAAAAGCTAACCTTTCATGCGAAAGAAAGCACGCCCGGCAAGTTCTGCGTTGCATGGTGGGCGTTATTTATTTGATTGCGTTGAGCTGTGGCAAGGTGCATATAGGCCAAACAGGATGCTGTGTTAATGATCGCCTTAGAGGCGTACTGACACAATTTTGAGGTGCAGCAAAACGGTCGTTTTTTGTTTCTTTGGAATGTAGTACTAACGTTCTTTCCACACCGGAACCAGGAAACACGTATAAAACATTTTGATTTTATTTTAATGTTTTGATCTCCCGGTTCCTGCAAGGCAGCTCCACCGTAAGGCACAGCGCTTGACGTATCAAGTTAGGTGCACAGAAAATTGTGCGTCATGTATATGTGCGCGCGTTGGAGTAACGACAATAATAAAATGGAAGAAAGCACGACCGGCGCACCTTCTCGACTGCCTGTCTGGCGGTGCGCCGCCGACCGGCGTCATTCGCAGTTGTGCTGTGCGCTG